CTGCCCCTCCTGTCGGACAGGTGCCCTCTGCTGCCCCTCTTGCCGGACAGGTGCCCTCTGCTGCCCCTCCTGTCGGACAGGTGCCCTCTGCTGCCTCTCCTGTCGGACAGGTGCCCATTGCTGCTGTCCTGGCTCTGTCTCACCGTTGTCGGCTGGATGTGGGGAAGGTTGCCCTCTCTCTTTAGTTCACAGGCCTTCAGATGTAAAGGAAATACCCCAAGCAGAAGCCTTATCCATACGTGGAGGTGCTTTAGATGATGAAACTTCTAAGCATCTTGAGAGAGCTGGGTGTATCGTGCCTGTGGAGCGGTGTAAATGACGTGTGGCCAGAGGAGGGTTATGGCAGACTATAGACGGCCATGGGTTCTTCCCACTGTGAGGGGAGGGGGTCTGTTTTCCAACTCTTTCATTCTGGGACTGCTTTGATCATGGAGTACAGTGGAGGAGACACTGCCGGGTGCAGCCTTGAATAGAGCTGACAGCTCCTACCTTGCTTTCTTGGAGCCCTAAGCCGACATGTAGAAATCCTGACTATTTCACTGGAGGGGCAGCTTGGAGAAGTGTGGAGGCCACATGAGAGAGGGTCCCTCTGAGGCCATGCTTCTAGCCACTCCCCACTGTGTGGTGTAGACACGTGAGTGAAGCCTTCTCAGACCCTCCAGACCAGGCCACCCTCTACCTATATGCCACTGAGCGGCCCCACACGGAGCAGGAGAATCGCTCAACCTGCCGGAATTCCTGAATTCTGTGGCTCATGAGCATAGCAAAGTGGCTGTGGATTTAATCTACTACATTTGGGGTGATTTGTTACAGGATAATAGTTATCTGGGACATACTCACACCCATACATCCTAGCTGTGTGACCTTGAACATATTACTTAAAATCTCTGTCATCAGTATTTTCATCAACAAAATAGTGATAATAGTATCTGCCTACTATGGGTATTAAGTTATATATGTAAAATAATATATGTAAGAATATATGTAAAATAATATATGTAAGAATATATGTAAAGTAATATATGTAAGAATATATGTAAAATAATATATATAAAAGCAAAAGCAGCTGGCCTATGTTTGGATCTTAAATGACTTTGTGTTTGATTTTTACTTTTTTTTTGAGGCAGGGTCTTGCTCTGTTGGCCAGGCTGGTCTTGAACTCCTGGGTTCTAGTGATCCTTCCACCTTGGCCTCCCAAAACAACTGTGGTTACCTGTGTGAGCCATCGCACCAGGCTACTTTCTTTTGTACTACCTCCTGCCCCTGGCAATATAAGTAATATCAGCGGGTGGGGAGCCGGGGAGAGAGAGCATGGGGAGAAATGCCAGATATAGGTGATGGGGAGGAAGGCAGCAAATCACACTGCCATGTGTGTGCCTGTGCAATAATCTTGCATGTTCTTCACATGTACGCCAAAACCTAAAATGCAATTAAATTTAAAAAAAAGAAAAAAGAAACTATACACAATAATTATTTTAAAAAAGTAATAGCAGGGCAGGGTGGACTTCAGATACCATCAGTTTTCCTGATATGGATACACTTACACACATATCCCATATATACATGTATCAGGATTTAAAATCTCATTGACTTTATAATTTATAACCACTAAGCACTTTTATAAAAGTGGGGAGGATCCCAGTGTCCTTAGTTCAACAATGGATTACTGTTTTTTTCATTTGTTTGTCTTTGAGATGGAGTCTCCCTCTGTCACCCAGGCTGGAGTGCAATGGGCAATGGCACCATCTTGGCTAATGCAACCTCGGCCTCCTGGGTTGAAGTGATTCTTGTGCCTCAGCCTCCTGAGTAGCTGGGATTACAGGCACACACCACCACACCCAGCTAATTTTTATATTTCAGTAGAGACTGGGGTTTCGCCACGCTGGCTGGGCTGGTCTCGAACTCCTGATCTCAAGTGATCCACCCACCTCAGCCTCCCAAAGTGCTGGGATTACAGGCGTGAGCCACCCTGGCTGGACTACTGTTTTTGTTACTGGTAGTGGTTCCTTATCATGCTGGGGCGGTCCATCAGAAATAAACTGGGCTTTTTACTAAAAACTCAGACATGATTTACTTCTGTAAACGCAGGATATTGGGCAGCAGAAATAATTTGTACGTGTTGAAACTTAGATGGCCTCAGCTCTCAAAAGAGACTGGCTATGGCAGGACCGGGATGAAACGTGTACAGGCACTCAGTGAACTAACTGTCATTACTAAAATCCCTGTCGTGAACCCTTCTTAGACCCTGCAGACCAGACCACCCTCCACCTGTATACCACTGAGCGACCCCACGTAGAGCAGAAGAATCACTCCACCTGCCGGTATTCCTGAATTCTGTGTATTATAAGCATAACAAAATGACTTGATTACTTACATACGGGGTGGTTTGTTCTACGGGGAAAGGCATGCTTAGTGCAGTGCCCACCCTCTGAGACTAGGCTCAGAAAATGCAGTTCCCCTCCGGCCCTCACCCCTACCCCCCTTAGCATTTGAAAAGGACGGCTTGCCAGTTTCACCGGCTCACAGGAGAGCCCAGCTGCTCTGCTCCTGGTGTGATCCTGGGCCTCCAAAACGGAATCAAGCGCGCGTTAATAACGCAGGCAGAGGCCTGCTCCGGGCTGCGTGAGCCTGCAGGGCAGGACGGGCGGGGACGGGCCCCGTCTTGAGTGTGTCTGCCTAGATCTAGCGTTCCCGTTGGTGGGGTAACGGGGCTTGCATTGACCGGATCCAGGCTTCACTTTAAACTCAATGGCCCACTCCCCACCCCAGCCCGGCGTCCGCAGCCTTCGATGGGGGAGGGGGGGACCAGGCGAGATGGTCCTGTGGCTCTTCTTTCCTTCTTAATGGGTGAAATCCGATTTGGAAGAGGGAGGGGCAGCCAGCACCTGCCTGCATAGCCCCGGAGACCCGGAAGGCGTAGGGAGGCTGGGCTGTGCGCTGCGGGGCGGCCCTGGGTTGAGAAACCCGCCCGGCAGGGAGCCGGGGTGGGCGGCGCGGCCTGGATTAGCGGGTGGGCCGGGCCGGCGAGGGCGCAGCGCAGGGCGGAGGAGGCGGCGCCGCGCGCGGGCGTGGGGAGGATCTGGAGAGGGAAGGGGCGCGCGAGCCTCGCGGACCCCGGGCACGCCCGGGCCGCCTGAGCTGGGCCGGAGGCGCGGTGGGCGCAGGCTCGGGCGGGCGGGGAGCCCCGGCCCGGGGGTGGCGGGGGCCGCGGGCGCGCGTGACCAGCTGTCCGCGTGGGTCCCCCGCGCGCTGCCCCTCCCTGACGGTGCCCCAGCCTAGCGCGGGGCCCAGCGCGGGTTCCGCGAGCACAGGCCTGGGGCTGATCGTGATCGGGTGAGTCTCATCCGCAGCCGGGCTCGCCTTCCGGCTGCTCCGCGGGCGACGTGCGCGGTGTCCTCTGCCCGGGGCCGGCTGCGTCTGGCCCGGACTTCCCTGCGGGCACCCGGGAATCGTGCGGCCTTCCCCGGCACGGCTCACGCCAAAAGCACTCCTCCGTGGCCGCGGCCGCGCCTGGGACTTGCTGGTCTCGGTCAGGGGGGTGCGAGTGTGCGCGCTGAGGAGCGGCTTCCCATGGCCACCCTGGAGTGCCCGTGTGTGCCACCCTGGAGTGCCCGTGTGTGCCGCCCGGTCCAGAAAACCAGCCTGCACTTCAGAGTACAGTGCTTATGTCAACTTAGGAATAGAAAATTCTGAAAGCTGCTGTCAGTGTTTGACATTAGAATTTCTACAGAGCAGTGCGGCAGGGGTTTGTGGACCGTCAAGAAGCAACCTAAAAAAGTAACTCTCTCCCTGACAGCTGGAATGGAGCCATGGAGATTGGAACTCCCCCTTAACCTCCATGCCCTAGCAAATGAGTACAATATAGTTCAGTGCTGCACTTCAGTCCACCCCACGGAGCTCTGGGTCCTGTCCCCACGTCAGCAGCCTTGCTACATTTAAAGAGCATGGCCGGGAACTAGTGTAGAACCCGCATGTCTACATATTGCGTAATAGAAGTTTCGTAGACAGGCCACCTCATTCAAGTTTTCAGACCCTTGTAGGATGCATCTGGTAAGTTGTGTAGACTTTCTTAGACTGTGTAGGATATATACTAGTCCATAATTTACATGGGGATTAAAGAGGTTCAACATTATGCCTGGAGGAACTGTGCAGTTCTTGGTTAGAAAACAGAGAAACCAAAAGAACTGAAAGAAAATGTGACAGAAAAAGAAAAGAAAGGGATTTTCTAGGCTTTGCTCTTAATTCATGACGTTAGTCACTTGTGGTCCCGGAGAGACATGCAGCTCAGTGGCCTGGGCCCCGGAAGAAACTCCATCCCTATCTTCCTTGTGCTCGTGGGTGGTCATTGAGATATGGGCTTGAATTCCTGTTCGCCTAGTTTTTTGTGTGAATTCTGTGGTCAAGTTTGTATGTTGCTACACTGAACTCTGAAGCTCAAAAAATTGCTCAAAAGGAGACACAGAGGGGAAGGGCAGAGAAGAAAAGCGATGGAGAAATGGTATGGAAGCAGGGGAGGCGTTTTTTTTTTTTTTTTTTTGAGACGTAGTCTCACTCTTGTTGCCCAGGCCGGAGTGCAATGGCGCAATCTCGGCCCACCGCAACCTCTGCCTCCCGGGTTTAAGCGATTCTCCTGCCTCAGTCTCCCAAGAAGCTGGGCTACAGGCATGCACCACCATGCCTGGCTAATTTTTGTATTTTTAGTAGAGATGGGGTTTCTCCATGTTGGTCAGGCTCGTCTTGAACTCCCGACCTCAGGTGATCCGCCTGCCTCAGCCTTCCAAAGTGCCGGGATTACAGGCGTGAGCCACCGCGCCCTGCCGGAAGTAGGGGAGTTTTAAGGCATCCGATTTATAATAATCGGTGTGGCTGTTACCCAGCTTCCATTTCCCACTCCCCTGCATCCCAAGACGTCCTGGCCTCAGCTCCGCATCCAAGACAGTGGGAAGCCTGGTCCTGAAAAGGATATGCTGCGTTGTGAAGTGACACGAGTTCCTCTGTTCTGTAAATAATTTTCTTCTTAATTTGAAAAGACATTGCACCCTTTCCCCCGAAAAAGAGTGAATTTCCTAGAGGAAGAAATTATTCATTGAAAACAAAACAAACTGGCATGCGTCCCATTCTGAATTTAGCTCTGACTTTGCACAAAAGGCGGAGGAGGAGCTAGAAGCAGGAAAGGTGGTCTTGAGCAGAGCAGACGCCCCATTTGGAGGTGAAAACCACTGGGGGGGAACATCAGCTCCCAAAAGAAGAGCTGTGAGTTTTTAACTAGTAAAAAATGCAAAATTATCCAATAATGTCTTGAATCTGGGGAATATTTTCGTATCCAGTCACAATGTAATCCTATGTTTCAGGCATAAGTCTTCAGAGTAATTCTATAGTGAAAATGAATTCTGCATTTGAGTTGCTAATTTCATCTTTGCCTGTTGATTCTTTCAACAGAGGGCATCTTTTGTGTGATGAGCATGATTTCAGGTGCTTAGATTAAAAGATGAATAAGGTGTCAAGGTCACAGCAAAAAGTTAAAATGTGAAAAGAGCTGTATAACACAAAATGTTATGGGAGGCCCAAAGAAACAAGAACACAGCATCTTCATAGAGGAGCATGTGGAGATGATGACAGCAGTGAGAGGTCAGGTGCGGTGGCTCATGCCTGTAGTCCCAGCAGCTTTGGAGGCTGAGGCAGGAGGGTCACTTGAGCACAGGAATTCAAGATCAGACTGGGCAATATAGCGAGACCCCATCTCTACAAAACATTACAAAGCCAAGCGTGGTGGTAGACACCTGTAGTCCCAGCTACTGGGGAGGCTGAAGGTGGGAGGCTAACTTGAGGCCTGCAGGTTGAGCCGTGATCCTGCCACTGCCCTCTAGCCTGGGCAGCACAGCAAGACCCTGCGTGAAATAACAGTAATAATAATCTAACAATAATAGCAGTGAGCAAGTAAACCTGCTTTATCCAGCACTGATTAAATACTTCATATACTTTGTCTGCAGATGTGGACACTGTGCTCAGGAGAGGAAAAGTGACTTGCTTGAAGCCTCAGTGGCAGAGCAAATTTGAACCCCCTATGATTGTTCTACAGATGTGTGTCATAAAAGAACAATGTTTTAGTTAGTTCATCATGTGGAATTTTAAAATTCTTTCTCAATCATATGTTAACTCATACGCCAGTATGTTTTTCTTAGTGCCAAACAAATCTGTTTGATGTAATTTTTAGTTGATTGTTATGTTATTAGTATTTGTTTATTGAGTCACATGTAAGCAAGAAATAATTAATGGCTTGAAAGCAACTGAAGAGGGCTAAAGGTAAAACGGTTTGTCATCATCAAGCTTGTTCTGTGTTCTTTTCTCTGGTGACCTTTCACACCTTTATTCTCAGAGTTACCTGGTTGTACTTAAGATATATAAGCAATAAGGAGAAGAAAAAACATCATATAATTCTATTATTCTCTCTTGCTCTTGCACAAGGCACATCTATGGAAGGCAGAGGCCCTTGCTAATCTGTACATGGTAATAAATTTATTTTAAGAAATTCCCTTTGTTGGCTGGGCGTGGCGGCTCACGCCTGTAATCCCAGTACTTTGGGAGGCCAAGGCAGATGTATCACTTGAGGTTAAGAGTTTGAGACCAGCCTGACCAACATGGCGAAACCCCGTCTCTACTACAAATACAAAAATTAGCTGGGTGTGGTGGCAGGTGCCTGTAGTCCCAGCTACTCAGGAGGCTGAGGCAGGAGAATTGCATGAACCCAGGAGGCAGAGGTTGCAGTGAGTGGAGATCAGTTAGGCATCATTATAATTGAAAGCAAAAGCAAACTTTAAAAAAATGCATGCTTGGGTGGTGTCCTTATTAGAAATATTAAAAGTTGAAGTTTTTCCTGATTCATTACCATATCTTATGTTAATATATGTTTTATTTGTAAGGGAAAATAAGATTTCTATTAAAGAACAGAAGTTGTTATTAAACATTAGGAAGATATTTTGACTAGAGGAAGTAAATGTTTTAAGCGGTTCATTGAAAGGACATTTCAATGATTAACAGGAGCTGTGCTATACCAGTTAGGCTTAATCGTTTATTTAACATCTAGATATTAAATGGGGAACTAAAACAGAAGAAATACCTTTTATTTGGAAATAACAAACAGCAATGCTAAATTAAAGTGAGTTAGATGTCTGTGAGGCTTCTAGGTGACTTGAAAGAATTTGATGTTTCTTAGTTAACATGGGATTAATGATTTTTTTACTGGAGGGCCTGTTGGGTTTTGCAAGTATAAGGGGCCTGGTCAAGGGACAACTGGGACCTGAAACTCCTGAAATACTGTGAACTGTCTCGGGGCAACTTTCACTTATCTGGCTAAGTCACAAAAAGCTGATGTTGTTTTTAGTTCACATAAAGGTGCACGTAGGCTAATGGAAACCTTGATTTTAAGACAAATAAAAAAATGGACTGGGACAAGCGGCTAAAGCCTGTAATCCCAGCAGTTTGGGAAGCCAAGGCAGGCAGATCACGAGGTCAGGAGTTCGGGACCAGCCTGGCCAACATGGTGAAACCCCATCACTACTAAATAAACAAAAAAAAAAAAAAAAAAAAATTAGCCGGTCATGGTAGTGGGCACTTGTCATCCCAGCTCCTCAGGAGGCTGAGGCAGGAGAATCGCTTGAACCCAGGAGGTGGACGTTGCAGTGGCCTGAGATTATGCCACTGCACTCCAGCCTGGGCAACAGGGCGAGACTCCGTCTCAGAAAAATAGAGAAAGAAAAGAAAAAGAAAAATGACAAGGCCCTAAGCCTCAGGTTCTTGAGGATGTGGTGTGTGTGTGTGTGTGTGTGTGTGTGTGTGTGTATGTGTGTGCACACAAACTTATGCACAGGTGGGTTTGGAGGAATGTGGCAGAGGAAGAGGAGGAACTGTATACAAAAAGGAAATTTAAAAGTCTTAATGAGTAAAACTATATTATTACACTAGGGAGACTTTTCATGTTTTGTTTTATTTCCAGAAGAGGACTGTCAGAAGGATGTAGAAGGCCCAGTTTTTCTGTGAGAAGCAAAGATCTTTTACCTACACATTTTACAAGACATGTGCAGAAAGCCATTGATAAATATACCTGGTAATAATTCATCTTGTTCATTGCTTCAGATTGCAAAACCACAAGATGCCCGTAACCAATGTGGGAAGCAAAATCAGTGATTAGATACATTTCTAAAAGTGAAATGCAATTTTATTGTTAGCCTAGTGTAAACGTCACACTGTAAAAATACTTCGAAATTAGTCTACTGTGAAATTAACAAATACATTTAATGAAAGAGCAAGCAGCCTCAGAGAAGTGAGGCCACTGTAGCAGTCCGGGCCCTTCCAGTAACTGTGATTTCTTTGCCTGTGTTCAATCCCGCAGTGAGTCCCCACCATCGTTTTCCTCCAGCGGAAGCTCCACACCCACGGGAGGCCACACCTCTTGGTCTGGATCAGCCACGCAGAGCTCCACCACCGGCTCGTCCACGGAGAGGGGATCCCTTTATTCCTGGAGAGATGACGTAGGTCTTGGAATATTTTGGATCATCTTGTAATTACAATTTATAGTGGAGAATTGCTTCCTTAAGTTCAATTTGTTTTACCAATTATAAACACACGGCCTACTGCATACATACATGTACATACGTATGCAAGCATGTACATGTTACATGTGAAAATAACAGATCGCCAACTATGGAGAAAAGTAAAACTCGTGATCTCCTGGCCCCATCTTAGCTGCCGGCAGCCTTCTTGTTTCCAACCTGCAGCCAGCTCTCCGGTGTGTTCCCTGGGACTTCTTAGGTGGTATCCATGGCCAGAAATTCAGGACAAACCCTGACAACTAAATACTTGAATAAGCAAAACTGTTGGAAAAGTAAAAGTTGTGATAGTCGCTAAGATTAGAGACCCCCCCCCCCCACCTCACATCGCCAATATTCCCAGTCAGATATTTTGCCTTCACCTCGTGCCCCTGGGAGAGTCGTTGCCTCCACGGCTCAGCTCAGCTTGCTCAGGAACTCAGTGGCTCCACTATCTTCTCCCTCCAAGGGTCTCCGAGAATCCCAGGACACAGGCTTCTGTAACGCCCACCTGGCTACAGCACCTCGGGTGTTCTGTTTTACCTCGTTTGTGCTGTTTTTCTTTCCTTCCTTTTCTTTTCTTCTTCTTCTTTTTTTTTTGACAGAATCTTGCTCTGTTGCCCAGGATGGAGTACAGTGACATGATCTCCAGGATGGAGGTTCACTGCACCCTCCGCCTTCCTGGTTCAAGCGATTCTCCTGCCTCAGCCTCCCGAGTAGCTGGTTTTACAGGTGCGCGCCACCATGCCCACCTAATTTTTGTATTTTTAGTAGAGACGGGGATCTCACCATGTTGGCCAGGCTTGTTTCCAACTCCTGACCTCAGGTGATCCTCCTGCCTTGGCCTCTTAAAGTGTTGGGATTATAGGTGTGAGCCACTGTGGCTGGCCTCTTTGCTTTCTTTAAAAGTGATTCTCCACTCCCATAGCGCACGTGAATCCGCTTTTGCCTGCAGCTGTACAGCTGTGATTCTCAGGGGAGCTGGCAGTGGAGGGGCACCAAAGGGGTCTGGAAGGGACCCAGCTCAGCACTGCTTGGAGGACCTTTCATGCATGCGCCTCCCTCACTTGGGGCAGCTGCCTCCGTCCTCACCCTGACGCCCACTCCCCGCCGCCCCTCAAGCCTACCTTTCTTGGAAGACGGCTGACACCACTGCTTCATTCTGCCTAAATCCTAGGATTCTTTTAGTGCAACATTTAATGGAATTACCAGGGAAATTCATATAAATTCCATTTATAGAATTAAAAATACTCCAGACCCAGCCCCTATAATTGCTTTTCATTTTAATTTTTAAAAATGTGTTTACTTATTGATGGAAAATATTTGCAAAAGGAACAGAATGCAGAAGGGCAGAGAAATGAAACGGAGCCCTCTCCCATGCCCCAGCCACCCAGGCTCCTCCTAGGAGATAAATATTATTATTAATTTTCCTTTTATTTGTATTTTAAAAGAAATAATTCAACTTCCCTGTAATCTGGGAATCTGATTTATTATCAGTTTGAGAGAGGAATTAACGCAGAAAATAACAAATAGCATTCTATGAAAATCAACCTGGACTGACCGTCTGCGGACAGGTGTGTCTGACTGAGTCCACAGTTTTCCTGTGAATTGTGGAAATTCCTGTGCTCCTGGAAACCCACATGGCGGGGATCTCCCCTTGGCTTTGAGCTCTAGGAGAGTTGCCTCCCAGATGAGACCATCTAGGAAGGATGAGAGGTTCTCTCATCTCCAGTTCCCTGCAGCCAAGTGCAAGAATCTCCGAAAGCCAGAGGAAAAATCAATACTCAGGTCTCACCCTACTAACCGGACTTCTTAGGATAACTAAGGATTTTTTTAAAAGTTTTTCCAGTTCATTGATTTGAGGAGGTTAATGGCCCTTTCTACAAAAGTAATTTCCTTGTCTGTGGTATCACCAGAAGAAAAAAATCTTGTATTTTTCAGGTGTGCTTAGGTGTGTCAGGCACAGCTCTGTGAGGGACACGTGGCTGCATGTGTGCGCACAGACACACAGATCTGGGCGTGTGTGTGTATCCACACCGATGTCTATGGCATGTGAATACCTCCACCTATACCTGCATCTGTGCGAAATCTCGAGTCTCATAACTCCTGTGGTAGAAGTTTTCTCTATTTAACAGTAAAAGAATCTAGGCTCAGAATGAGATGGGATTTCTCAGAAAGGCCACAGCTGGAGCAGGGCTGTGTCTGACTGCAAAGCCACCTTCTTTTTACCATGTGATGCACCTGCCTACATAGTGGGTCCCATTAAACATATAAGTAGCACTGACCAAGAAGGCCGAGCTTCTGTGACGTTTAGTGTTATAACTAATGTGCATTTCTGCTTCAGGAATTTGATGAAGCCAGCGCACAGACCGTGCAGCGGTTACTCTGGGAGGTGGAGGAAATGCTGTTTGAAGGCAAAGTGAACCCTCAGACCCAGAGTCTGCTGGCCGAATGCGGGGAGTGGACAAGAAGATCCCTCCATTTGAGGTGGGGTCTGGTTGGTGGAAGTTCTCTGGGGCAGGTTTTCGAAGCGCCTACCCCGAGCTGCCTTGAAACAAGCAGTACATTTGGACTGAACGCACCTGCCCAGCCAGAGTATGGACGCAGAGCGCAGTCCTTCACTGAGAGGTCACTTCCCCTGTTATGGTGTCTGAGGAAATACTGAGACATTCCAATACTCATGCACCTTTTAATTTGCGAGAAGCAAATTCAGCGCATCCTGAGAAGGGCATCATGTAATGATTGCAGGAATGGTGGAGGCCACCTCTTACCTTCAGATTCACTATGTGTGAGCAGCACGTGCCTGTCTTCATCCCAGAACACAGCGAGGGCGGGCAGTGATTATCGCTGGACAGCTGGTCAGATGCGTCTTCCCATCTCACCCCATGATGTAGGGAGGATCACGTACTATTTATTTTTATCAAAGATGGAGAATGTGGATTGGGAATGAAGGCAAGCTTTTCTTTCAGTCACTCAGCCAACTTCCTGGGGGACAGTTTATCAAAGTTACCTGAGTCCCTCTAGATTCTATCAGGGGAGGATGAGTTAGAACATTCATGTAAAGGTGGCTGGATTTTCTGCTTACCTCGACTAGGTAACTTTTACAGAAATCTTGACCAACTAGGGCTTTTTTTCTTTTTTATCCTTAATAAGCCACCTTCCGAAAAGCGTACGATGTGCCCACTAGATACCAATTGTGGACACTCACTTTCCTGGGTATGGTCACTCACCGAAAACTCAGGGGCTCACACTCATTCCTGTCACTGCCATCTTACATCACTGATAGAAATGGAGGGAAGGTGGAAAAGGAGAGACTGCCGGTGCATCAGCCCAGTGTGCATATTTATGTATTTTTATTGTTGTGTTTGTGTTGAGCTGTGTACTAATGTGTATGGAGAGCTTCTGTGTGCCCGGTGTGGCCTTAGACACCTGAGTCTGTCAGACATGATCAGCCCTGCAAGGTAACCATTGTCTCCTGTTTTGCAAAGGAAGGACAGAAAATCAAATCAGCCTGAGAACCTTGCCTGAGACTGAGTCAGTGGAAGAACAGTCTGGCCTAAACTCTCAAAGCCACACTCTTCTGTGATGCATGATGCTTCCCACGCACCCATACATACCTTATCATATCATACACACGCCTGCAAAATCATTGTCTCCTACTTTTAAAATCCCAAAACGTTTTCCCTTCGTCTGATCCAAAATGTGAGCCGCTTCTCTTTTACCTTGCAGAGTATTAGGAAGACAACTGATCCTGCCCACTGACGAGGGCGTCCAGCATTTCCAGGGCAGCGCTCCCGGCTCCGCGGTCCACAGACCCCCACTCAGTGCCTGCAGACACAGCAGCAACATCAGAGAGTATGTTCCGATAAGCTACTCTCAAAAAGTATTGTTAGCTGTATCTTAGTTACACTTTTACATGTTTATCTCATCCACAAGGCCCGGTACCACCCGGTTTGGAAATGTAGATTGTAATGAAGGGCAGGTACAGAGAACGGTTTTTACAAGATGCTTTTGATTCTGAATTGACAACAGGTGTATGTGTGTGTGTATACACATAGATGTGTAAAATATATCTGGAGTGCACATGCACACATGTGGTAGTCACCTTCCACGTGTGTCCAAAGGCGCTGTGACAGGCGGACTGGACACAGCCTGGAAGCCGCCCCGCTGTGATGGGTTGTAAGCTGCAGGCAGTGGCAGCAGGAGATAGGAAGCTCTGTCCTGCCATCTGCTCACTAGCAGATTTTGATGACTCTCTTTGTCCATTCACACATAGTTGGTGTGCTGTGACACAATGTGATCCCTTCACTGCAGCCAAAGAGGGTATGAACTTACAGAATACTTTCGGCTTTTAGAAGCCCTTAATATTTTTAGTGATTTCTGTATTCAAGTGTTTTTAAGGATTTGAGGTTTTTTCCAATGTAATAATCAACAGTTTTGGGGGGATTCTGTACTTTACAGATAATTTAAAGTTTCGCCATAATCATTTAAGCATTGCACTCTTGGTATTGTATCAACTCCATGGAGAACCTGTTTTCCTCCCATAGGTTGTGCATTTCTGGCTCTCAGTTAGTCCCAGCGACGCCCTCAGCCTCTGCCCTGCCGGGCCCTCATGGTACAGGGATTGCTGACCTAGCAGTGCATTCATCGCTGGAAGAAGAGGTCTACCTTGTGGATGGAAAGATCGAAGAGTATTTTGCTTTTGACAGAAAAGAGAGGTAAATAGGGTCTTACTCGACATTGACCTCCTAAAATAAGATGCATTTATTTGACATTTATTGTTATTGTAGGCTCTTTTAGTGTTTTATTTTTTTCTCACCCAAAAGATTTCTATTCTTTGGAGAGTAATGACTCCCTAGAGCTTTGATTCCTAGCAGGAGGTGCACGTGTGGGAACGGTGAAGCGCGTGTTCAGCATGCTTGTGCAAGCAGAGAAGGCTCCCCGCAGCCCTGGTCCTGGGAGCTCCAGCTTCCCTATCACTGGCTGCCCGAAACGGCCCAAGCAGCGTTCCCACCTCTGCACTAAATGTGTGTTTTGTTCCTAATCAAAAACTACAAATATTACCTGATAAAAATTTGCCTCATGATTGAAAATTGAAACATGATAAGTCACACTGATAAAACAAGTCTTAACAACTGTAAAAAGACTGAAATCAAGCATCTTTTTTGACCTCTGTGGTATGAACCTGAAAGTCGATAACAGGAAGAAAACCGGAAAAGTCACAAATAAATATATGTAAACTAAACAACCAGTGAGGAGGGCAAAGAAGAAATCAAAAGGGAAATTGGAAAACACATTGACTATTAAAATGGAAACATGGCATATTACAACCAGACTTACGGGATGCAATAGAAGCAGCTCTAGGAGGGAAGCTGATGGCAGTAAATGCCTACATTAAGAAAAGAGAGAGCTCAAACCGACAACCTAACTTTACACCTGAAGGAATGAGAAAAAGAGCAGACCAAGCCCAAACTTAGTAGAAGGAAGGAAGTGACAAAGATCTGAGCCGAAATAAATGAAAAGAGACTAGAAAAAAAGAAAGATCAGTGAAACCGAGCGTCAGTGTTTGGTTTGGCTTCGTTTTCCCGCCCGGTTTTATTCATGTGTAATTGACAAGAATTATATATGCTACAAAAGAATGATGCTGTTTAACCAAGAATATGCGTATTAATACATGTATAAATGTACATACATGGATGTGTGTAGATAGAATTATTTTAACTCTAAGCATAGATATTTTAGTAATTGGAGTGGGTCTTTATCCTTAGTGATGACAACGGTCTTGAACAAAAACCAGCTCAGCTCGGTAGGAAATGGCGCAAACTCGGACTTCCTCCTGTTTCGCCTCGTGACTGTGTCAAAGATGCCGTGACAGCAGAAGTGTTTGATCACGTCTGGACAAATGTGGTAGAACTTGTGCGAGAGCTGATTAGAAAACACTGGGAAACTACACTCACAGGTACTTACGTGCAGAATTCGGCTTAATAAAAAGAGAAACAAAATCCCTGCCCCTCAGCCCTGCGCCCCTGCTCCTCAGCGTGGCCATACCTAGAACATGGTCAGTGAGAAGACAAGTGGGTGTTCTGACTTTACTCACGAGTGATCTTCAGTCCCTTCAAAAAGGACGCTATTGTTTTTTGCATTATAAAAAATAATGCAGTGCTGGCTGGGCGTGGTGGCTCACGCCTGTAATCTCAGCACTTTGGGAGACCGAGGCAGGTAGATCACCTGAGATCAGGAGTTCGAGACCAGCCTGGCCAACATGGTGAAACTGTCTCTACTAACAATACAAAAACTAGCCGGGTGTGGTGGTGCATGCCTGTAATCCCGGCTACTTGGGAGGCTGAGGCAGGAGAATTGCTTGAACCCGGGAGGCAGAAGTTGCAGTGAGCCAAGATTGTGCCGTTGCACTCCAGCCTGGGCAACAAGAGAAAAACTCCATCTCAAAAACAAACAAACAAACAAACAAACAAAAAACAATGCAGGCAGGCATGGTGACTCACACCTATAATTACAAAACTTTGGGAGACCAAGACAGGAGAATTGCTTGAAGCCAGAGGTTCAAGGCCAGCTTGGGCAACATAGCAACACCCCATCTCTTCAGAAAATACAAATGAAAAGTTAGCCAGGTGTGGTGGCACATGCCTGCAGGCCTAGCTACTCAGGAGGCTGAGATGGGAGGACCCCTTGAGCTCAGGAATTCGATGTTAAAAGTCAGCTCTGATCATGCCACTGCACCCCATCCTGGGCAACAAAGTGAAACCATTTTCCCCAACAAAATAACAATGTGTATGATTGCAGTCTGGAAAACACAAAGAAATACACAAGAACAAGGCTGGAAGTCACTTTTTTTGTTACAGTAAAAAAAAAAAAAATTAATCGTTAATAATGAGATATTTGTATTTAATTATTCATGACATCATCTGTCATGTAACAAATGTAAATATAGCTAATTGAATAATCCCTTAGTTGTCTTGTTTCAACATATAAAATGTTCTCTAAACTTAACATTGAACAGAAACAAATCATAAAAATGTCGGTAATGGACACTAATGACTAGTTTTATTCATCAGTTTGTACAATAAGGCCATAATCCTGTTAACCTAAATCCTGTTCTTTTTCTGGTATTTAAGGGACTGGTTGGGCTTTATCACGTGCTGAGACTCTTAGTGCCCCCTGTATAATCTGTTTCTCCACGTCCCACTGTGACTCCAGTCACAGCAGTGGGTTGCTCCATGGGGGTCTCTGCCCTCCGTAGCAATGAGCGTAGTGGGCATAGCATGGACTTGTGGTAGCTCAAGAACAAATATTCTCAATTAAGAGTGAATTCTCAGCATTTGTGTTAGATGATCTGATGTCTCTGGGAATATTGATTCTTCTGTTGACACAGCAGGGGAAAAGCAGAGAGAAAAACTGAAAGTCGTTGGAAACAGATTTCCACATGCCCTCGCTCCACGTGCTCGGGCTGATGGAGCCAGTGGCCCCGGGTCTGGAAGCTCTGCAGCTCGCTGTGTCTCCCTGGCTTCTCATCTGAACCCGCGCCAGGTGGGTGTTTTCACACCTCTCTCTCTCTCTCGCCTTCAGTCTGTGTGTCCCTCGCCTCCGTTTGTCAAGAGCGTTGTTCTATTAAACTGTAGTATTGAGATATTTGGGGCTGCCTTCCACTCCGCCTGCAGCGGGGGCCATGCAGGCTTTCCATGGCAACTTAAAAAGAAACCGCAGTATCGCAGTGCCCAGAATGCTTGATGCCCTGCCCACGAAGGAGGAGGATGTCCTCAGGTTCCTGGCAGTAAGAGCCCACGCAGGCGGCACTGCCCTTGGCTTCCTGATAGAGAAGTACATCCACAAAAGGAATAGCGATGGCATCTCCGTCATCAATCTGAAAGGACCTGAGAGAAGCCGCTGGTGGCAACTCGTGCCATTCTTGTTGTTGAAAGCCCTGCTGATGTCCCTGTCATGTGCTCCAGGAATACTGGCCGGCGGGCTGTGCTGAGGTTCACTGCCGCCACCAGAGCCAGTCCCACTGCTGCCTGCTTCACTCCTGGGACCTTCGCTCGCCAGATCCAGGCAGCCTTTCAGGAGCCGTGTCTGCTGGTGTTACTGATCCCAGAACAACCGCCAGCCTGTCACAGAGCCGTCCTCGGCTAGCCCACCTCCCATTGCTCTGTGGAGCACAGATTCTCCTCGCTGCTGTGTGGAAGCTGCCATGCCCTGCAACACGGGAGCTCACTCAGTGGGCCTGAAGGGTGGCTGCTGGTTCAGGAAGTTCTGAGCATGTGTGGCACCGTTCCCCAGGAACACCCATGGGAGGTCATGCCTGACCTCTGCTTCTGCAGAGACCCTGTTTCAGATTGAGAGGGAAGAGCAGCCTGCTGCTGATGAAGCTGGCCGACCTGGGGTTTCAGGGGTATGGACTGCCCCAGTGCCGGCTGAGTACTGCCGCCCAGACAGACGCCAGACCCAGCTCCTGTGTGCACTAACCCTCAGCCTGGGGGTGCAGACCCAGCCCCTGCGCACACTACAGCTCAGCCTGGGGGTGCAGGCCCAGCCCCTGCATGCACACTACTGCTCAGCCTGGGGGTGCAGGCCCAGCCCCTGTGCACACGACAGCTCAGCCTGGGGGTGCCGACCCAGCCCCTGCACACTACAGCTCAGCCTGGGGGTGCAGGCCCAGCCCCTGTATGCACACTACTGCTCAGCCTGGGGGTGCAGACCCAGCCCTGCACACTACAGCTCAGCCTGGGGGTGCAGACCCAGCCCCTGCACACTACAGCTCAGCCTGGGGGTGCAGACCCAGCCCTGCACACTACAGCTCAGCCCGGGGGTGCCAACCCAGCCCCTGTGCACACCACAGCTCAGCCTAGGGGTGCAGACCCAGCCCTTATGCACACAACTGCTCAGCCTGAAGCTGTAGATGGCCCTGGAGGTGCAGGGGCCTGCCGTGCTGGCTCAGCAAGTCTCTGCTGCAGACTGGAGCGCCCAGCCTGCCGGGGGGCCTGTTCTGCACCTCCCAATGCTCAGGCCGGTGAATGAGGAGGATCAACTCTCAAGCTGTTCTTCCACAGGCCACCAGCAAGACGGAAATAGGGTGATGGAAAATAAACCTCAGTTTCTATTTAAAACAATGGTATTTGGGTCTGTTTGCAATGTGATTATGTCGTGAAGTTACACAAAATGACCATGTGGCACTGCTCTGAGATGTGAATCTGGTTTCTACCTTTTGGGAGATAAAAAAAATGCTTTCCCCCTGACATTTCCAGCCAGTTTGAAAATGATAAATGTTCTCCCTTCTTTCTACCAAAGTGATAGAAGACTCAATGAGTGTACAGCCAGTTCTCGACTTACGACCACGATTGGGACCGCGGACCGGTCGTAACACAATTTAGTCGTAAGTTGAGTAGGTTATATGTACAGTTGAAATGGTGCACGCGGAGATGGTAGTGCTGCCGGAAGCTGGTCCGCACTGTCGTCCACCCAGCTGGGCAACGTTTGCGCTGCCAGACGCGGAGCAGTCGTGGCTAGCGATAGTGGTTGTAAAGTCGAATGGTCGTAAGTTGCATAGGTCGTAAGTCCATCAATACCTGTACATTGGGCTTACTCAGCATTTATCGTCTGCACTTGAGGCGTTTTGAGGAGATACACAGGTGAATCAAGCAGTCCCTGAACTAGTGACCCAAAAGCTCTGACCCAGGGGCAGGTGTAAGACATTCTGTGAGGGTCGTGCAGAAGAAAAGAGCCTTGGAGAAGAATCAGAGAGCGATTTGTTCTGATTGGAGGAGGGGGTTGGTCTTTTACTTTGGAGGTGAAATTTGAGCAGAAACATGAAGACATGAGCAAGGCTCTTGTGGGAAGGAGCTCTGGGTGGCCCATTTCAGGCCAAACAAAGGCGTGGATGAAGGAAAGATGGGGCGTTTTTGGGGACTGTGATTGGACTGAACTTAGGGGATAAGAAACTGGGAAGAGCAGCATAGTGGCAAGAACGGGGGATGAGGAATCGCGAGGCCTGTGAGGAGTATTTTTCTGGATATGTTGAACTTTTCTGAACTTTAGTGTCCTTAGCTTATAATGAGGATGATACTATCTTGTCCAAGGGATTGTGTGAGGATAAAATCATAGAAATACCGGAGAGCTCCCACCACAGGGACCGGCACATATTAAGCACTTAATAAATTTTTCTTGAATTGCATTTTTATTGAAAGATCTGGTAGTGAGTGAGGCTGGAAAGGACGCGCTTGTTCACGGGAGGCCAAGGAGCCTGTTTCCACCACCCATCCTGTGTCAGGGAGCAGAGAAAATGGATAAACACACACAGATGCACACACACCCCACACACATGCCACACACACACACCCCACACACATTCCACACACACACACCCCACACACCCACCACACAACACCCCACAGAAACACACCACACAGCATGCACATACCCCACACAAACACACAACACATCATACGCCATACACACCCCACATCGTGCACACACATACCACATACACCACTCACACATGCCACATGCACCCCTCCACACACACCCCACACACCATACCCACACCCCACACAAACATACCACACATCATACATCACACACATACACCACACACTATACAAACACATAACACATGCACACACAGTACATACACCACACACACACCCAGCACACAGCAACACATCAAGCACACACACACCACACACATGCCACACACACACCTACCACACAACACCCCACAGAAACACACCACACACAATGCATATACCCCACACAAACACACAACACATCATACGCCACACACACCCCACACCATGCACACACGTACCACACACACCACTCACACATGCCACATGCACCCCTCCACACACACCCCACACAAACACACCACACACACCCCACACACCATACCCACACCCCACACAAACATACCACACACATCATACACCACACACACACACCACACACCATACAAATACATACCACATGCACACACTACACACACACCACACACACACCCCACACACCATACCCACACCCCACACAAACATACCACACACACACACCACACACCATACAAACACATACCACATGCACACACCACACACACACCCCACACCCACACACCACACACACACCCCACACCCACACACCACACACACATACCATGCACACACACACTATACACATCACTCACACATGCCATACGCACCCCTCTACACACACACCATACACACACCCCACACACCATACTCACACATCAGACAAACACATACTACATGCACACACCACACACACACCACACACACGCCACACCCACACACCACACACATGCCACACCCACACACCACACACACATACCATGTACACACACACTACATACATCGCTCACATGCCACATGCACTTCTCTACACACACACCACACACACACCACACACCATACACACACCACACCCACCATACACACACCCCACACACCATACACACACCACACCCACCATACACACACCCCACACACCATACACACACCCCACACACCATACACACACCCCACACAAACACACCACACATCATACACCACACACATATGCCACATGCACACACATCCCCCCCCACACCCCACACAAACACACCACACACCATACACATACAACATACATTATATACCACACACACACCACACCCCATACAAACACATACCACATGCACACACAGTACACACACCACGCACACACACACACTGCACATGCACACACCACATACCACACACCAACACACATACACATACCAGACACACACCATACACACACCACATGCACACACAACCCACAACACACCAACATAGGAGCTTTGGGGTTCAGAGGAAAAGTATACTTTTCAGAGTAGGGTAAGATAGGAACCAAGCCTTAAATGATGTAGGTGTGATTTGTTAGGGGGAGAAAGGAAGGGAGACTCCTCAAAGCCAAGGCCGAGCTGCACACCTGGCAGGAGCATCCCAACCAAAGATCGTGAAAGGGCAGAGGCGGGACCGCATCTGTGCCTCGGGGCAGTGGGGAAAGCAGAGCGCCTCAGGCTTCTTTCACGCTTAGGGGAGGCGCTTGGCAAGAGGTCTCTGCCTTTTCTGTTCAAAAGAACCTTTTGGAATCGCTACCTGCTTATTGTATTTTTTGATCGCTTTAAATTGCTCTGACAATTTCAATACAACATTCTCTACTTTAAAAAAACAGGTAGTATGAATATCACAAAAAAAGAACAGCTGATGATAATATAGAAAAGAACCTTTAAATATCAGGCAAAATAGATAGACCTGAAAAATATGGAAATTCTAGAAGCCGGGGACTTTTAAAAATAGCTGCTTTGGTTTCATAAGTCCTTTGTTTGGATAAATGTTAAAAAATAAATGGAAAGCAAAGTGAACAGAGTAAAAATAGAGCCTGCTATGAAATACTCAAGGTGTTCTAGGGGTAATTATAGAAGCTCTTAAGTTACTCCTCTACATGTGATTCTGGTTGCCACATCTGTTCACGAATCCGAACAGAATTCCAGTCCCAGAAATCCTGTTCTCCCGAATCTAAATATTACTATTATTTTTAAAGTTTTGAATTTTACTTTAAGCTCCTGGGTCCACGTGCAGAATGTGCAGGTTTGTCACATAGGTATACAAGTGCCATGGTGGTTTGCTGCACCCATCAGCCCGTTATTTAGGTAAATACTATTTTAAATCCTCGTTGGTCATACTTAGGGACTGAAGAGGGAGTTAAGAATCCCTTAGCCATTAGCTCATGCTTTTACAAATGTCATCTGATTCCGTTCTCACAAGAGCTCTGTGAAGCTGGTATGACTTTTCCCAGTGTAAAGAGGAGAGTGTTAAAGTTCCAAGAACAAAGTAAGCGTTCTAGAATTACTGACCAGGAAGCAGTTAGAACGGGATTCAGACGGAAGCCTCTCCAGAGCTCATGCTTGGGCCCCGGCATCTCACTGCTTCTGGGAAGAGAAGCCCCGGCAGGTGTGGAGGGGAGGCCAGGAGGGACCTCCAGGCCTGGCCTGTGCTTCTCCTGGCCCTGCCTCTGCCTCCCTCACCCTGGAGTTACCAGGGGCTGATACACATCAGAGCTCCCTTGCCCTTCAACTTCCAGCAGAGACTGCAGCCCGGCCCTGCTTCCCTGCAGGGTCCCTGCCAGGTCACCCTGGGCCGGTGGCGCCCCTCCCCGTGCAGCTGCCCTCTCGGTACAGGAGCCCCTTCCTCACTTCCCGCCACTTCAGGCCAGGTGTGCTGAATGTCCCCATGGTTAGGAGCCTTGGGGAATTAACCAATTCGTTGTTCACGTCTCAGCCCACGTCTGTATAAAACACCCCCCTGTATTAGCTTTCCCTGCAGTCAGCCAGTTTCCTGCCGATTTCTGCCAAGCATCGGTCTGGAACGGCACTGGGCAGTTGTAATGTTTTTTTTTCTTTTTTTTTACTGTTCTCAGGTTCATCGCTTCTCCAACAATTGTTATAGTGACATGAATGGTGTCATGACAATTGAAGCAAAACCACTTCAGCACAGACCTGCCTGTTTTCCCGACAGAACGCAGTACGTATCACTGTGGGTATCAGTCGTCGTTACCCAGCCTCTGACTTGTGTGGGACACACTGCCGCGCGGAACACCGCGGGGGACATGAGTTCACCAAGGTCCCAGTTCATCCCATGCTTCAGATGTGCCCGAGCACCTCCCGGGGGAGTGTGGAAGAGCAGAAACAGGCCCTTCCAGTACAAGCCAAAAACAGCGACGATTGCGCATTTGGTTGGGAGGGTCAGAAAAAGAACAGTCATGAAGCCTTAATCTTGTGGGTTTGACGGTTTGGATTATTCACAATGAAAACCTCAGGTCTCTTCCTGTGAATGTTTCTTCATGAAACAGGAAATGGTGGGTCTTTCTGTTCATTCAACCAGTTCTTAAGAGTGTTCTAGGTGTCAGGCCCTGTTCTGGACGCTGCTCACCCCAGCGCAGACGGGTGTGTTCCCTGTTCTCACAACACCTGCGTCTGAGGAGCTCACAGGACTTCCTTCCCCAGGAATGAACAGGCGGACAGAGCGTCAGGTGGAGGGGCCGGTGCTCTCTCCTCCCCACGGCACAGACTGGAACGGGCCTCAGACACTCACCGATTACTGACTTCTGCAAAGAAAACACCAGTGCCACGGAGACTGCCTTCCCTTGTTCCAGATTCACAGAGACTAAAAACCCCCAATGTCTATAGTGACGAAGTTCTTCGGGGAACAAAACTGTAAGTCTTGTTTCTCTCATGCTCACCTGAAGGTCACACAGGGCCTAGATGCTTGTCAGTTAGGGTCTGTGGCTCACCCTGGACAAGGCATCCTCTATCCAGTGATAGGCAGACACTTTTCTAATGCGCTCATGGAGTATTGAACATTCATCTTGCTCCTGGGGTCCACTTCGCTGTAGACTAGGACATAAGGTCAGGCTATCTCTGTGACACAGGCAGAATGAGCCTCTGATGGTGGGGTGACCTTGGGTGGATTTCAGTGGCCTCCTCTGTAAAACAAATAATTAGTTAATGCCTTTAAATTACATAATGAATACTTTTTAAGGGGAGGTGTAAAAATAATGTATGTAAAATGCTATAAAAATGAAAGGAATATGTCTGCATCGGATTCTCTTTAAGGACGCACTTCTCCCTATGTAGGAGTTTCAGCAAAGCTTTGGATCTCAGGGATTCCCATCCCACCATGGCGTCATTAGAAAGGTACTTGTCTCTTGCCCTCCTGCTACCTTACCAGTATCGGCCAATACTTGTGTTGATATAACAGCCAGTGTTTACCGATGCCTTTCGTTGTTACCAGCACCAGGTAAAGGAATTACATTTGTGGTCCTACGTATTCCCCACCGCAAACCTTTTTGTGGTTGGGACTCCTGCTATCCCAAGTCTGAGATGAGGAAACGGGCGAAGCCTGCCAGAGATCCTCCCCCAGGGAGAGGCCGAGCTGGGCACACTCACACCCACAAGTGCCCTCAGGCTTCGGAGACCACCCACTGGACCCCCGGCCTGCAAGGGAGGAGTTATTAGGAGCCGAGCTCAGGAGCGGGCGGCCGCCAGCGCTTACCTGGCAGCTGGACTCTCTCTAGACGCGGTCATCATAAACCCCCTTTCAGCTTTTTAATAGGTGCCTGTTCTTTCACATTTTGGGGCTGATGTTTCCAGCTGTGTCAGGTCTGCTGTGCTGATTCCGTCGGGGTCCCTTTGCCTCCGGCCTGGCTGCCCCAGTGCCAGGCAGCAGCACACAGCAGGCTCTCTCCTCCTGCCCCAGCCGTCCTGGGCCCTGCTGTCACACTTCATCAAATGGAAACCCATCTCTGCCTCCTACTGAGATACATTCAGATGCGTCCGATTGTACAAATCCCTCCGTGTTCTGACCCCTCTCTCCCTGTAGGCTGGTGATGTTTCAGCTTTCCTTTTATGATTGCCACCCTGAGGAGCCCTTTTAGACCGTTCTCCCCAGCGGCTCTCCCACGCGTGAACGGTAGTCCCACAGACAGGCTGTCTGTGCATAGCTGTGCTCTACACGTAAGGGGGAAGCTGCGGTTTCACAAGGACAGCGCCCGTCCCGTTTGATCACGCTGCCTCACCTGCGTCCCCCGGCTTCTCACCTGCCTGGATTCTGGCCTGCCTCATGTTCCCTCTGACCCCCCCCCACCACACCAGCTCTGCGTCTTCTCACCCCCATCCGCTGTCCTTCACTTTTAACAAGATAACATTTTCCCCTAATTATCACAGTGCTATTAGTTTCCTGGGGAGCATCAGGATAATACCACAAATAGCAGACATTGACGACCTCCTGTGTGCTCCAGAAACAGAAATCACAGCTCTTGACAGACTTCCTATCACTTGCCAGTTACCCATTTCCCTGTGTGCCCAGTGACATGATGCTGTGTTGCAGGTTGACTGGCGTAGACCACATGGCTTCCCTGCTGGCTCAGACCTCACGGAGCAGGTTCCCGCCGATAGGCACAGAGACCAGGGAGCAGAACACAGCAGCTCCTGGATCCCGCCTTGCTTCTGTAAGACAGAATTCATTCTGTTTAAGTGGACCGTTTAGGCAGTATATTGGAAAACAAACAAAACAACCTTGGCACTTCCAAGTGAAATTAGTAACGTAAGATCTGAGCAGCTGTATTCAAACACCTTTGTAATCTGTTTCCAGAAAGTAAATGGCTTGTGAGAATTTACAGGGAGTGACAGGTTAATTTGCCATTTTGTGAAATGAAAGCACGTCTTGAACTAAATCAGAAAGTCCAGGTGTCACGGAAATATCTGATAAGATGGTGTAGCAGAGAAGAGAGCAGGAGATTTGGTCAGGAGACAGGAGGGCCACGCGATCCTGCTATGGAAACTCTTCTGTGATTTGATACAAGTCACTTTAATCTACCTAAGGCTTAGTGTTCTCCTCTATAAAAGGGGATTAATAATGGTTAACCCCAAAGAATTGTTAGGAGGATGAAATGAACTCATCGGTGTTAAATAATTCCTGATGTGAAATCATGAGCTCAGGAAATTCTGACCCTGGTCGTTTTTATCAGGTCTCATTTTTACAGCCAGCCTTTGCCATGTCTGTTGCCGTGGAGGACGATACCTCTGGGCTCAGACTCCGCTCAGCCACGCGGTCACACAAGGTCTGGGGAGCATGCTGCTGCCCGTGCCACAGCCAGCTGCCCCCAGGTTTGTAGCCACCCCCCACTCACTCTCACACAAGTAACCGGTCTCTATTCATTTTATACAACATAGAAGGACCCCTGTTGTAGGAACATAAAGACAGAGAGAGAGAAAAACCCTGCCCCGGGCAAGGTTTTCTCTTGTATTTCCGGTGCCACCTTGAGCACAGCACTAGCACCCACTCCCAGAAGGCCAGAGTTGCAATGTCTTAGCGTTTAACCTTCGAATAACTTCATTTTAAACAAGGCGAACATCACCTTAAAAAGCCTGATACTTCACAAATGCAGAATCATATTTCTATTATGGTTTAATGTTAAGAGATGAATGTGGTCCAGGTTTTTTATCTCTCTTTCCCTGTGGTGACACTATCATTTTATCAGGTTGAATACTGCAGTTACATAATCAAAATATATCTCATCAGGTATTTATCCTTAGGAGAGCTGATCCTTCGTGATGTCTAACTAAAAGTTTCCAAATAAATGAGTGAATGATTGAGCATGTAGAGATTTTCTTTTGTGTTTTTAATGATTGCATTTATTTTAAAAGAGAACATATTATCCTTCATTTAGTACAGAGGGAAGCAAAACTGTGTGCGGAGTGCCATGCCTGATGGTACAGAACGGTCACCTCTTCCAGAAAGAACGGCCACCGTGGAACAGCTGTCAAGGCCCAGCACAACCCATGCGTTGCGGGTGGGTGCTCTGTTTGCTGTCACTTTAATTTTGAAAAACATTTGAAAACAATGAAACTTGTCCCTGATGTTATTTTTCTTCCAACAGTTGGATGCGCCTGGAAAAAGTTCATTGACCCAAATGGAATTTGCTGCTCACACATGGACAGGTCAAAGTATTTTAACAGGTCAGCTTTTCTCCCTATATAAATAAAGTGATGTAACAGGTGAGATTTCAAGTTTCAGAAAGTGACGTGGAAGATTGTCTACCTCGATAAGCCTGTTTTTCTCATGGAGGAGGGAACAGCAAGTGTTTCTGGCCGACGACCTGACCTCAGAAACCTCAGTCGAAGAGCACGCCTGCACAGACACACCCTTGCTTACCTGCCCTTGGGTCAGCAAGGGGGAAATGCCCACATGCTCTCAATGAACTGGGGCCTCACTCTTAAAAAAGTGCGGTCCCAGGAGCAGTCAGTACCTCTGTTTGCTGTAGAGTTTTCATGCTCCGTTTCTAAATGAAACTCTCACCTCAGATTCTCTTTGAAAATCGAATGATAAAATGCTTAAGAAAGTTAACAGAAATTTGCTAATTAGTTTATAACATAGGGCTTTACAGGTAAACACATCTCAGCCTTGGATGTTGTGTGCAGGATAAAGCTCTAGTGTGAATGCCGGCCAGTGGCGATTCCACTTCCAGTCACCAACACTTTTTTCAGGGCGGCAGCGGGGCCTCATCAGGAGGTGTGCTGCTCTGCAGGCTGATGTGGGATTTCCACCCTCGCTCCGCCACCGGCTGTGCAGCCCTAGGAATGTCCCAATCTCTCTGGGCCTCAGCTTCCTCTTTTATAACAAGCTGGGTAGATAAAATAACGACTGGAAATCTGTGAAAAGGACCTAGCTAGATGCCAGGCGTATATTGCTCGAAGATTACGACTTGTGATCGTTGCTATTATAGATAATCTGAAATGTCAGGGATAATTTGTTGTTTTACAGGGAATCTTAAACGTATTGTAATTGTAAAAGTGAACCGTGTAGAAGGTAGGCGTTGTGTTGCGCAGATCCGTCACTGTTCACAGCAGCGTCTCCTTAGCCCTGTAGTGTGGTGACATCAGGGATTCTTCAGCTCCCTCAGATTTTGCTCCTGTGCGGATAGCGCTGGGCTGCCGTGCCTTTCTGTTGCTTTGTTGTTGCTGTGTGTTCTTCAGCAGCATTAGCGGCTGTGCTCATGGCAATGGCTCATTGTCTAAAAGGCAGCCATGCTACATGGTCGGGTGTTGCTTTTTTTTTTTTTTGAGTTGGACTGTCACTGCAATGCCCAGGCTGGAGGGCAGTGGTGCGATCTCGGCCCACTGCAACCTCTGCTTCCTGGGTTCAAGCGATTCTCCTGCCTCAGCCTCCTGAGTAGCTGGGATTACAGGTGCCCACCACCACACCTGGCTAATTTTTGTATTTTTAGTAGAGATGGGGTTTCACCATGTTGGCCAGGCTGGTCTCAAACTCCTGACCTCAGGTAATCCACCCACCTCGGCCTCCCAAAGTGCTGGGGTTACAGGCATGAGCCACCGTGCCTGGCCCAGGTGTTGCTTTTAACACAATTGTAGATGCTTGGGGGAAAGTAGGTGCCTAAGTTAGCTGATTAATCATCGACGGTGTATCAGGTGCTCACTCAGTGCCAAGGTCTGTGCTGAAGGCTGGGATTCAAACACCAGGGGTGTTTCTGTCTGTGCCTCAAGGAACATTGAGCCTGGCAGGGAAGCTGGAAAAGCCTGTGAGAGGGCGGGCAGGACCGCCTGGCTCCCCTGTCCGGGGCTGGAGGGCTTCCTGCAGGAGATGGCCATCACGAGGGATGGGAGAGAAGGGGGTGAGGGCTGACAGACGTGTCTGCGGATGGCCGGAGGTGGGCGGTGCTGAGAGGGAATGGCGCCTTCTGACACGTTCGCTTTTGGGGATGCTGACTGCAGCATGCCAAGTGGAGGTGTCCAGTAGGTAGTTCAGACACACATAAGTGGAGATTTGGACAGGGAATTGGGTTCTGAACTTGTTTAAAATCTGCACTGTTAATCATTCACCAAATGCCAGGTCAGTGTATTCTCTTATCAGTAACTTTTTTTTTTTTTTGCTTTAAAATAAGCTATTTATTTTTTCTACAATTATAAAAGTAATACATTATCAAAATAGACAGCTTGCAAAACACAAAAATCCACCAAGGAAAATACAACCAAGGCCCCCTAATCTCACCACCTAGAGAGAACGTGGCTCAAAGGCAGGAGCTCTGATGAAGGTGCACCGTGGCAGGTGCCCAATGCAGATGTCACAGGCTCGAAGTGAGGCTGCAGATCGCCCACACTCACAGATCAGAAGGCCTACATCTTGCCCTTCAAAAACGAAAAGCTGCTTCTCTCCTCCGAGCACTCTGTCAAGGTCAGCCCACCACGCCGCTCACGCAGGGAGCCACCTCTGGCCACCAGCTTAGGCAGCTCACCACGATCTACTAAGACATTCAGGAATGAATTAAAAACCAGAGTGGATTCATGGTGACCCCTTCGGAATGTCACTCACTGCTTTCTGGAAGAAGACAGGTGGGTAGAGCCAGCGTGTGGGGACTGCAGTGACCCCAGGGGGGCCCACAGGAGGTCCATTAACACGTGCAGTCACATATGGCCACTTAACTCGTGCAGGACCCAGGGAACGGTCCACGCCTGTCATCGGCGCGTCACTGCCTCTTAAATACTGACCCAAGACTAAAGAGCTATTAGAAGGGAGAACGCAGCTGCCCAAACGCAGAGCTCCAAGACTTTCTGCATCTGTAATGAGCTCTTTGGTTTGAAATATTTCCCCTCCTTAACCGTTATTTAACGCTGCAAAGCTCAGTGTGAAGGGAGTGTCCAGGCTCCCTCAGGATCACTCTGGTTTCTCCTCCCTTCTACCCTGTGCGCAGGAAAAGTCGCCACAGGGAAGTCCCTGGAGCTCCGCCTGGCTCCACAGGGCCTGTGCAGCTGGGAAGGGAGGGCACAGACGCCCAGGGCTATAGGTGCCAGCCTGTGCATTCCGAATTCTGGAGAAAGCCATGCCCGGTGGTGGTGAGAGACACAGGCCTTGGCACGGAAGTCCGAGCTCTGCTGCTGGCTGCTATGGGGCCAGGCATTCCCTACAGGTCCCAGCTTCCCCAACTGTAAAATGGGAATAACACCTCCCTCATGGGCTCCTGAAGGGATGGAATAAAACACGGAGCATGTAATGTGGTGCCTGGTGCGTAACAAGCCTCAACGTGTCCAGGGACCCATCCTGATCACCCATGAGCCTGTTTAAGGTCAGCTCTGTCTCATTTAAAAAACAAAACAAAACTGTGCCTTCAAGATCAGGCTCACGGTGACCCTGATCTGGGCCAACCCCACCCGGAACCAGCCAGGCTTGTGCTGCTGGAGAGGACTGGCCAAGCCAACGCACTCACCCTCGGGACCAGTGGTGAGCAGCCTGGTGAGCTCTGAGCCCGCAGAGCAGGTGGGGCGCCCCACAGGTTGTGCGCAGAGGCCCCTGGGCCACCAAGGGGCAGAAACCTCAGGGAAAAGGAGGACCTTTCACCTGCCAAAATGGAAGCTTCCCCACTGAACACCGCATCTCCTGCCACTGTCTGGCCTTTAATCACAACTTAAACCCTTCACGGAGGGACCTCTGTTCCTTGTTGTTTCCTCTTTGTTCATCCATTGGTTGTCTTCAAAATCAAAGTCCAGAAGCTTCTGCACTAATTTCAAAGTCAGGCTGAACCCTGAGGAATGAACGAAACTGTTTCAATTTTCCTCTAACTAAGTCTTCATATAGCTTACCATAAGCAGGATCCTCATCAGGGCATTACTGAATCATTCCGATCTGTGATTGTAAGAACCACATCTTTCTGTGGTCCTTCTCAGTGGGACAGCTGTGCAGGGGACATTCCCACCCAAAAGCAAAGCCTTGATAGCACCTGATCTCACACAGGATGCCGGCTCCAGGCAGTCTGCCGCCCTACCTTCCTTCACCACACCCTCACTTGTCCCTCCTCCTTCAATCCCCTCACTCCTCCCTCCTCCTCCTCCAATCCCCACACTCCTCCCTCCTCCTCCTCCAATCCCCACACTCCTCCCTCCTCCTTCAGTCCCCACACTCCTCCCTCCTCC